AGTTGCCCAGGCGGGTCTCGAACCCGCGGGCTCAGGCAATCCACTCGCCTCGGCCTCTCCAAGCGAGGGATTACAGGCTAAACCACCGAGCCTGGCTTCAAAATCCAATTTAAATGTCAGTTCCTCTGTAGAGGAACTTAAAGCTTCTTTCTTAAAGCTCTCCTGTGCAGAGTTGCCTCTATTGGACGAACAGATGGATGGGTGGAAGGATGGATGGATGCATCCATGGGTATATGAGTGGGTAGGTAGATGGATGGGTTAGGATGGGTGGATGGATAGATGGATGGATGGATGGGTGGATGGATGGATGGATGGATGGAAGGATACATGGATGGGTGGATAGATGGGATGGATAGATGGATGGATGAGAGGATGGACAGATGGTTGGGTGGACGGATGGGATGGATGGATGAGTGGATGGACAGATGGGTGGATAGATGGGTGGATGCATCCATAGGTGTGTGAGTGGATAAATGGATGGATGAGTTAGAAATGGATGGATGGATGGATGGATGGATGGATGGATGGATGGATGAATAGTTGAATGGATAGGTGGATGGATGGGTGGGTGGATGGATGCATCCATGGATATATGCATGGATAGATGGATAGATGGGTTAGGATGGATGGGTGGATAGTTGAATGGACGTATTAGGTCATGAAGCCCCTTCTGGCCCCTGGCCTGGGTTTGGTTCAGGTGAGGGCAAGGAGGTGCAAGTCATGCTTGAACTAGCCTGAGGGTGGAGGAAACGTGTTCCTCCAAATCAGAGCTCCAGGGAAGTATGGCCAGGCTGGAAGAAGGTGGGTAGGTCCACGGAAAGAGCACAGCCTGGGAAAGAGAGCCCTGGGATGAGCAGGGTTATGGACAGTGGGAGATGGATCGTGGACTTCAGGTCAAAGGGGAGGGACAGAGAAACCAATTCTGGAGAGGCAGGACGAGATGCACATTCCCAGAGCACCTGCTGCATGACCCATGTGATTTCTTATTTAACTGTTGCAGTATTCCTATTTGTTCTGCCTTAATCATTCTTCTTGTTAAATGCAAAGAAGCTGAGAAAATCAGGCCCTGAATGTGACCCCATGAGTAATCAGCCTAACCTTCCTGCCACTTCTTGGTGCTGTCGTCCCTAGTGTGGTCCTTTGCTTCGCCTCGTGTTTCTTTGTCTCACCATGCAGCTGTTTAAAATCTCGAGAATCAGCCGAAGCATGGAGTTCTGGTCTTCAGCCGTTATGGAAACAACCTCATTAAGTGCCCAGATATGATGTATTTAGATACAAACATTTTCTACACATTCAGGGTTTTCCTATCTCATCGTGTATAAATCAGTCCTGGAGAAACTCTTCATACTTGCTGTTTGTTTCTATTCTGCAAGAAACCAGCCACACTTCTACTGGGAATCAGATCATATTTAAATATCGGAATGCTTTCTGATAGCCAGTTGTCATTTCTGAGGGGGAACAAAAATTTTGACCTTGAGTTTGTTTTTATTTCTGGTTGTGAAAGCTGCTAGCTGGGCACAGTGTCTCGCCCCTGTAATCCCAGCATTTTGGGAGGTGGAGGCGGAAGGATTGCCTGAGCCCAGGGGTTCAAGAACAGTCTGGGTAACTTGGCAAGACTGTGTCTCTACAATAAATTTTTTTAAAAAAATTAGCCGGGCATGGTGGCGCACGCCTGTAGTTCCAGCTACTTGGAAGGCTGAGGCTGAAGGATCGCCTGAGCCCAGCAGGTCGAGGCTGCCATCGCTGTGAGTGTGCCACTGCCCTCCAGCCTAGGTGACAGAGTGAGACTCTGACTCAAAAAAAAAAAGAAGAAAAAGAGAAAATTGGAACTCAGAAAGGTCACTGACCCAGGCCACTTAGTGTCCTGCAGGTCTCAAAGTCCACTTGGAATGACCATGGCAGGTCCCTGTCGCCAACTTAGCTCACTGCATCAGCACTTTCTCGTTTCTTCTCTGTCCCTAGACTGATGCCCTCCAGGAGAGACCTTTGCTTTCTCTACGTTCTTATTGAGCCTGGCACACATAGCATGCCCAGACTATGGACTGGAACTGCTGAGGCTATTAAAAGTTCCATATGCAGCCAGGAGCATTTATTTAAATATAGATATATAAAATAAATACATAAGCATAGAAGTATAACATGCTAATTATTAGTTAGTATTTTATTATTTATTATTAGGATATACAATTTAATAGTATATACTTCATATATTATTTATAACTATATATAAGTTTATAAAATACGTTTTCTATAAAATATTAAAATCTATTTCTATAAATTTAATATATATCTTAGCTATAAGACTCATATATATTATGTTTTATATTTATAATTATTTTACATTATAATGATATACAGAAATATAGTAATAATAATAGAAACAAAAGACCTATCTGACCATAGCTTGCAGAAGTGTCCCCCACCCCTCTCTGCTCCTCTGTCCTTCATAGTCACAGGCTCACTCAGCCTTTCTCCTTTAAACCCAAACCTCTGAGCACCAGGAAAGCTGGTAAGAACCTTCTCTGTGCCTAGGATGGGTGAAGGAGTAGATAGCCCAGGCCACTGTGGCTGGTGGGAGTGTCTGTCAGGCTTGGAGAGAGGAAAGGGTGACATACGTGGGACCACGTGGGGACCACAGGAGCACGTTTGGGCTGAGCACTAGGAGCTCACACTGACCCAGCCCAGGGAGGGGTGGGCAGGAGTGACCTGGTTGTCAGGGCCTGCTGGCAAGCCCAGGGTGGTGACAAGCCCACGTCTTTTGCCGGGGGCTGAAGATGTCCATGGGCCTTCAAGCAGGACAAAGCTGCAGTGTCATCGCCAGGTAGCAGGCGGAGAAAGGGTGCTGACAGCCTGCAGAAGCTGGCGCTTATCTCTCCATCGGAGCTAAAGCCCATGTTTGCTTAGAGAATAGCCTGGAATTCCACCCCAGCTGCTGGGCATTTCACTTTTGAAACATAAGCCCAGAGAGCGAAAGGGGGAAGGTTGTACCCGGATTCTTCTTCCAAGCATGAACTTGATGTTCCTGACCAGGAACTAGCTTCTGGTGCGGAAGGGCTTCGTGACCCTTTAGTTGTTCCCTGAGCCTCTGCTGTGTCCTGGGCATCAAGGGCCAGAGGAAGGATGTCCACTTGCGTGTTTCCTAAGCCTGCAGAGGCACTATTTGCAGAAACCAACCTGGAATCAGCTACTGGTAGCAATCAGTGGCTGTTTTTAACATGTGGTTGTGAAGCTGCAGACACCAGGCTTGCTTTTCACAGAGCGTCCAAGCAGGTGTGCCCAACCGACACACCGGTTCATGCTGGTTCTCACTGGTTCTGGAGAGCTGCTTGTACGCATCTCTCCCAACTCCACTTCCAGTGACATCATGTTGGACTCTTGAAGTTGGCCATGGAAATTAGTGTGAACAGAGAACCAGTTGTTAGTAGTTATCAGTACAGCTCTGTATCCACATGATTTTGGGCAAATCCTAATATGAGAACATGTGGGAAAAGGACCCCGGAGGTCATGCATCCATCAATGGCATCCGTTGGTCTGTGCATGCTCTGCCCCAGGCTCTGGGGATCCGCCTGTAGGCTTGGCTTGTGCGGTTTCCTCTGCTGGAGGGACACCTCCTCCAAGAAGCCTGTCCTGACTTCCCCAGCCTTCCTCACCTCCACTCTCTCTCCTGCAGGACAATGCAGACTTCTATCAGAGCAGGCACTTACCTGTTTGTAATCCTAGATCCACCACTGGCTTTGAAGCCAGGGTTCTGTTAGTTATCTCTGTAACCCTGGGAGCAGTCCCAGTGCCTGTGGAAGAATGCATGCCTGCACGTGAAAGTGAATTGCTGAGCCCTCTAGTCTGGCGGGGAGGCCGACCCTGCACACCTGGAGCTGATGCCTTGGCAGATGCTATGCCGGGGCACCTGCATATTGTAGTACGGAAGCACAGGAAGACATGGCATCATTTGCTTGCTGGGAATCAGAGGCCCAGAAGCAGCCTCAGTCTCTCCAAGTCCAGTGAGGGTGATAACACTCTCTAGCCATAGCCCAGAGTGTGGGAGAGTTCCCTGTGAGCCTCTGGGTGCCCTGCAGAGGCAAGATGGTGCCATCAGGGACTGGCCTGGAGACATAGAGATGGCCAGGCCCAGGTGGGGGGAGAGTTGTGGAACCTGCCCTCTTGCCACCCAGTCCTGCTCCCCCACGAATCTGCAGAATGTCTGGGGTTGCTCCATCTTCTGTTCTGGCATATCTGAGCATTGTCTGAGCCCCAGCAGGTGAGGCCACTGGTCGTGACCCTTGCCTGGTCCCTCCTCAGGCCCAGGCAGCCTGCCACCCCCTGCAGTTTCTCTGGAAATGACACCTCTCTGCACAGCATGTCCTCGGATTGCCCTCATCATCCGGCTGCTGCTCTGAGCCTCTGTCACCTCACCACCTCTTGCTTCTCTGTTACCACAAACACTGAATAGTGATCTCAGGTGTCACCCTCCACAGAAGTGTGGACAGCAAGGGGTCCAGAGGCATGTCCCATGGGGAACTGGGAACTGCTCTGCTTGCGGAAGGGTGATCTAGGACCCACGGCAATTGTTTCTTCCCAGGAGTCGAAACTGGGCACAGAGGGTAGGAGGGAGAGGCCAGGTGTCTTTCAGGCATCTACTCCATGTCAGTACCTTTTCCAGTCTCTAAAATTTTGTCAGGCAGATGACGGTAGAGCCAGAAACCTGGGCAACAAGAGGGCAGATGCCGACATTAACCCCATTCAGTTCCAAAGTCTACATTCATAGCTTTCCTCAGTCCACCTGTACATGCTGGAAAGACTGTCTCAGGAAGTAGAGAGTCCCTGTCACCAGTCCCTTGAAGGGGGATGTTATGCAGGGGACTTGAGCATCTGGCTTAGGATAGGACTTGATGAGGTCTAAGGTCCTTTCTAGCCCTGAAATTCCCTGAGGGAAACATTCCCCAGTTCTCCACCTTGCCATGGTCCCCCCCTAACTCCCAGCATACCTTCTGCTCTCTTCCCAGGTGTCGTGCGCCAAGTGCGGCCCATCGTGGGACCATTTCATGCCGTCTTGAAACTGGAGATGAACTATGTGGTTGGGGGTGTGGTCTCCCACCGAAATGTCGTGAATGTTCACATCTTCGTCTCTGAGTACTGGTTCTGAGGACTGGTCTGCAGTGCAGCCAAGGGTGCACTTCCAGGCCAAGTCATTGCTGCCAGCGACTATGCCCTGTACTTATTTGTACCCCTCAGACATTTCTTAATGTTATGTATTTGTTTGTAGTGTTAGACCCACATGTATTAAGCTGAGCCAGATGAATAAGTCCATCTGATGTATTTTGGTGTTTAAATAATGAGTCCAATTGTTCCACTGTTTGGCCGAAAACCTTGCTTATGTTTTAATGCAAAGGTTAAATTTTGCTCCTTTTCTGCCAGTGGCCTGGGCCTTGATAAGGACCAAGGAAAGGAAGACATTTTTCAGGGGGCAGCCAGTCCAAATGCCAAGAGAAGGCCAATTCTTGCCCTGACTGTGTGAAATTTGACAATTTGATACTTTTTTTTGCCAATCAGATTTTGTATGTTCTAAGGTCATGGCTGCTGTAGGATAGCACATAAACGTATGATAAATTCTCTCCAGAAGCAGCATGACAAAATGCCTCGGGGAACACTTAGAAGGTAAATTGCAGTTCTGTTGAAACAGAGGAAAATCCCCTGGTAAAGTCGCAGCCTGTCAGGTATGTGTGTGGCCCCAGTATGTTCACCAGGGGAATGGCTGGGTTTTCTCTGCACCCTGCATCCATCTTTTCTTGTAGGTGGGAAAATAAACAACTTTGTGATCCTTCTGCTGGCCTGTGCATGGGAGTCTTTTAAGGAGGGGGCTCCCTGCTAGCTCAGGAGTCCTCCACCAGTGAAGGAACTAGGAATCTACCCCCTGCTCCAGGCCATCTCAAAGTTCTTCCTGCCCTCCAAGCTTCTGGGGTGGGGCCCAGCTTGTCTACCAGAAAAGCTTCCTAATAGTGTCATTTCCAGTATCAAGTTCACCCTCTGAGAAACATGGCTCAAGTCTGTCCTGTGACCCACATCCATTCCTACTAGGCAAGTCATAGGACTTTGTTGTCTATATGATTTGCTTGTAATAGCCCTCGTGGGCTTTCTAATCCTCTCTAGAAATCTCTGGGGAGAAATAATGACTCTTCAGCAGGAAGGAGAGAGGGCTCGTGTTCACTGAGTCTCTGCTAGACATATGCCTGGGCCAGGCACGTGTCATGTGGTACTTCATTTATTCCTCCTGGTGACCCGATGAGGTGGGCATGATCATGCACACTCTCAAGATGGGCAAACTGGGCTCAGAGAGGGGAACTCAGTTGCTAAAAGTCACACATTTTAGAGACAAAGAGGGAATTCAAATGCTGTTTATCTGACTCTAAACTCCCTCGAAAACCCTGTGTCATAACAGACATGGGCAGACTGAAACAAACACCACGGTGTCAGTGGTGGGGCCAGGAGCATCCAGTGCCCCGAAGCCAACTTGGGCCTGCAGGGACTCAGTATCCAGGCTTTTCATTTCCACACATGCCTCTCCTCCAAGTTCTCCTCTGGGCTTAACCCACGCTCTCAGGCATGGACTTCATTCATGGCTCTAGACTCTGGCACTGACTGAGATCTCAGCCCCACATCCAAGCCAGTGCCACTCCAACTCTAAAGAGCATGGTCTCTGCCACCTTCGGGAATTCAGTGTTTCTGAGGTCACTCGTTTGGGGTACGTGTCTGTCAAAACCAAGTCTGAGCCAGCCAGGCACAAGGACTGCTGGAGCCTTGGCAGCTGAGGCTGGTGGGAAAGGGAAGGCCAGATGTGGAGCTGGACTGTCTAGGGAGCCATATCTGCGGACAAGATAAGCACAGGGGACATCTGAGCCGCTCAGCACGCCAAGGAATTGGAGTGAGTCTTGGCAGGAAAGTGGGGCTGGGGGCTGATTGCAAGAATGGAAAGCTCAGGGCAAGGACCAGAAAATGAAGTGTGTCGGGATCCTGCCACCCACTAGGTAAATCTGTGGGAGCCAGGCAGTTCTGGGCCGGGTTCAGCAAAGGGGGTTCTGGGAACCTTCTTCGAGAGAGCTTGATGGGACTAGGGTGGGGAGACAGAACCTTAGGTGGCTTTGGGGAAAGGGGCGTCCCAAACTCTCAATAGAGGTGAGGGTAGGAGCTGCCATTGGTGGACAGAGCCAAGCTCCCTGCTGCTGATGGCTCTCAGATGAGCACATGATCCAAGTTCTCCAATCAAGTGAGTGGGTCAGTCCTACCGCAAGCAGGCCGTGAGGGTGGGGGGGTTACAAGGCTGAGGAGCCAAGACGACGAGAGGAAACCCAGTCCTCATTCAGAATCAGAGAAGCCAGGACCAAACCTCATCTTGGCAGGGCCTAGCAAGACGAGTCGCTGCCAGAAGACGGATGAGCCTCAGTTTCTGCATCTGTGAAGTGGAGACAATAATTCCTAGATGGCAGTGAGGAGTGCTGTAAATCATGTGTGCAAGAGGGCTTTGCAAACTGTAAAGATCTGCATACATGTGTGAGATCTTGTTGTCACGAACCATTAAAAGTAACGATGATGGTGATGACAATGATGATAATGGTTGCCACTGGCAAGCAAGCCACATGAATGCGTGCTGGAAGCTTGGCACCTTTTCAATCCTGCATTTTCTTAATCACCCACAAGAGACTCAGTAGACAGTTGTGTAAGTTACACACGAGCCTAACTTTTCATATTTCATGCCACACTACGGGTTGGGCACCTGATGGACCTATACGTATCTCATTATACTTGCAAAGTAATTAACATCGGAGCATACATCACTTGCATTAGGGGACCAGCTAATGGGAGCTGAAGGTGCTTCTGGGCCCCCCCAAACAATGATCCCTTCTTAATTGCAGACTTAGAACAAGGTAATTGAGGGGAGTCCCTCAAGACAAAGCAGTTTATAAGCAGCATGAGATGGCTAACACAGAGACACCGGGATGAATCCTTTTTGCTGATCTGGTAGAAGACACTTAGAAGGGAGGTTCCAGAAGTTCTCATAGGATAATAGCTGACCAGAAAGCTGTTGAGTGAAGGAAACCTACTCTAGTACAGAGGAGCTCTGTGTCACATAGTAGGAGTGCCTGGGCCACCTGGTATCCTAGCAGGCCATGTTAACACAGGTGGGCGCTGAGTGGAGGGTGGCAGGGCTCACCTGGCCAATAGAACCCAGGGAGGTAAGCCAACTTTTCCAGGGTTCTCAAGTTTGTTCAGGTGAGAAAAAAAAAAAAAAACACTTGGAAATCAAGTTGCATTTTTTTCTCTCCCAATATTTTATTATGAAAGTTTTTAAATAGCAAAGTTGAAAGAATTTTACAGTGAATCCCAGGGTACTTCCACCTAGATCCTGTCACTAACATTTTATGAGCTCGAGTTGCATTTTGAATAAATGACAGCATGATAAGATAATAAATATAACATTGAAAACTCTGAGCCGGGCTCGGTGGCTCAGCCTGTAATCCCGTGCCTTTGGGAGGCTGAGGTGAGTGAATTGCCTGAGCCCGCGGGTTTGAGACCCGCCTGGGCAACTTGGCGAGACCTCATCTCTACAATAAATCAAAATGAGCCGGGCATGGTAGTGCGCACCTGTAGGTCCAGCTACTTGGAAGGCTGAGGCGGAAGGATTGCCAGAGCCCAGCAGGTCGAGGCTGCGGTGGCCAGGAACAGCCTCTGCACTCCAGTCTGGGTGACAGAGTGAGACTCCAACTCAAAAAAAAATAAAAAATAAAAGAAAACTCTGGGTTTGGGTAACCCTCTTTCAGGTCCCCTCCTGCTGTGGGAGCTTTTCTGTCTTCTTAATAAACTCCTGCTTTTTCAAAACAAAAAACTCTGGGTTTTGCAGGCTTGAGTTCAAATTCAGTCATTTACTAGCTGTGTGGCCTGAGGCATTGTTTTGGGAAAAACTTTCTGGTTCTATGTTTTGTTTTTGTTTTTGTTTTCCCCTACTTCCACACTACACTACAACAGTCATCCAGAAGACAACTTCTGTGACCAAAGATGTGGAAGGTTTCTCCACACACCAAGCAGTGGCCGCAGCTAGGTGTCCTCCAATTCAATTCCAACACCATGGAGATGGGGTTAGATCCCACAAGTTGAGGGAACAGTCCCCAAGATGGCCATCACTCTAGACCAATTCAGGTCCATATTTAGGACACTTTGCATGATTGTCCCCTTCCCTAGCTACCCACTGTTCTTCTGGACAGCGTCTGGGTGCCAGCAATGGTTCTTCATTTCCATTTACGTGTTCCAATGCCATCTACGCCCAAGAGACGGCTTCACGCAGCTGTACATCTCCCTGGAAGTGGAATGAGACAGGAACTCATTCTTGAATGACTTTTGAAGTCTCAAGGGAGAAATAGAACCATTGCAGTACTTCTGTAATAGCCTGGAGAGCATGGTGGGAGTCACCATTACTCCTAATAACCACTTTACGCTTTTTTGAAGAAAGACCTACTATGTGCCGCGAACAATTTTTTTTTTTTGAGTTGGAGTCTTATTCTTGTCACCCAAGCTGGGGTGCAGTGGCACGTTCACGGCCACCGCAGCCTTGATCTGCTGGGCTTAGGTGATCCTTCCGCCTCAGCTGGAACTGCAGACGCACACCACCACGCCCAGCTAGGGTTTTTTGTGTGTGCGATTTATTGTAGAAATGAGGTCTCATCAAGTTGCCCAGGTTGGTCTCGAACCCCTGGGCTCAGGCAATCCTCTCACCTTGGCCTCCCAAAGTGCTGGGATGACAGGCTGAGCCACCACGCCCAGCCCGTGAACACTTCTGTAAGTATCTCCCAACACACACACACAGACACACACACACACTCTGACACATATTCTCACACACACCCACATGTACACACACGCATGCTTCCTCCTCAGCCTCTGTTCCATGCCCCCCTCAGGGCCATCTTCTCCCGGGAAGATACCTGTCTCATCCCCTAAAATGACCTGTGCTCCTATCACTGCAGAACTTCCAGTGCCGCCTGTTCCAATGTTCTTTCTAGGCTAGTGTGTGTAACAATTGTCCACATGAACATCTTTCCTCCCCTGAGAATGTGAATCTGTAACTTTTACTTTTGAAGTTACTTTTTATTATAGAATTTGAAAAATGCATCAAAATACAGAGTATTTTTTGAAATAAACTTTCTCTTTTTAGAACAGTTTTGGATTTGCAGAAAACTTACAAAGATAGTACAGAGTGTTCCTGTATACCTGGCACCCAGTTTCTCTGTTATGAACCTCTTACATTTTATGGTACATTTGTTACAATTAACGAATCCATACTGATACACTGTTGTTAACCAAAGCACATA